TGCTTTGGGTCTAACAAGGCTCCAGTTCGTTGGCTGAGGATGCTATCTTATCTGAGGCTTGATGTGGCAGGATCTGCTTTTGTTGGCCAAGTTCACTTCCTTGAGTTGTGAAGACTTCAGTTTCATACTAGCTGTTGGCCAGAGGCCATCCTTCATTTCTTGCTACATATCTGACAGCTCACAGTATGGCAGTCTGCGTCATCAAAGCCAGCAAGGAAGAGTCTCTTCCCAAGAGAAGTATTATAATTTCATACAACATAGAGGCCAGCACATGGCAATTTGTCAAAGCTACAAAAGGGAGACACTAGTAAGATGGGCACTGTCATCTTACATAACATGGGCCTGTGCATCCCTTCTTTCATGGAGAAGAACTCACACAAAGAATACTGAGAAGCCAGAGGTCATAGAATTTATACTAAGAGTCTGTCTGTCATGCCCACTTAAAGCAAACTAAGGATTCTCATAATTTAAAACATGAGCTAGATTAGCTTTGTTCCCACTTTCATTTGACTCTGACACTAAATTCCGTTTACTATTTGTTGATCCTGGAAAATGATCAAACCTTAAAATTCTAAAGGAAAAACAGGACAATTTTCAAGAAATTCCAGCTGTCTTAAGAAGTATATTTATTTAATTTCAGTGGGTACTGCCAACTCCTCTTGAGGAGACACACACACATTTGCCTAACCCAGTATTTAATACAATTAGTACCAAATCTCTATCCAAATTCTAGGCAAAAGCCTGGGAATTCTTGGCCATACAAGTCCATAAAATAAAATATTTTTTTAAAAGTTCATGTTGGGGGGTACCTGGGTGGCTCAGTGGGTTAAAGCCTCTGCCTTCGGCTCAGGTCATGATCCCAGGGTCTTGGGATCGAGCCCCGCATCAGGCTCTCTGCTCGGTGGAGAGCCTGCTTCCTCCTCTCTCTCTGCCTACTGCTCTGCCTACTTGTGATCTCTGTCTGTCAAATAAATAAATAAAATCTTTAAAAAAAAAAAAGTTCATGTTGGTACTTTCTTATCTGGTTTATCTGGTTTTAGTATAAGTATCAGACTTGGAGCCAAGGAATCTATTTTGTAACTGAAAAGTATTCTTGCATATGAGGGTCAACAAAGAAGAACCTTTGCTTCTCTAAAAGTGTGTGAGAGTTAACAAAAGCAAAGTATGATAAAAATCCTCAGGATGACACTCTGAAGCTCGCCTGGGCTATTGCAAAGTTACAGTCCCAGTACCTGACTTCCTTATCCTGTGTACGTGTCTGGGAAAACTATTGCATCTCACTGCTGCTCACACTTCTGCACCGGCCTTTCCTGCTCGCTGAAAGCCCAGGGCTATCTGACAGGGTTTCCCAGAGGTCTAGTGTAACAAGAAGCTAAAAGCCCTCTGCTTCAGTTTGCATCTATGTTTAACCCTTATACAGAGTAGTATTTATTTCACTTCTAACTCTCTTGCTCTACTATAGTTGTCCACTACAATGAAATAAAATAAGCAAATACTTATAACATTGAGAAGTTTCTGCTTAAATTCTCAATTTTAAAATAATAGCCATAAAACTATTGTGTTAGAAATCAGAATATTGGTCACCAGCGGCTTTGCAATAACTAGAAGGAAGCAGGAGGGGTCTTTGGGAGGTGTTGGTCATGTTCTTTTTCTTGATCTAGATGTTCATTATATGGCTTTGTTTGGTTTGTGAAAAACCTCCAAGTTGTGTTCTTACAGTATGCACAGTGATTGTGTGAAATTTTTGAAGTGGGGTCACATTATTGTTTAGTATCGTTGCTGTGAAGTGAGTTTGCCGTGTTTTTGAGCTTGGAAATTGTTACAACTTGATTTAAGTTCATACTTCATCCCAAACTTATTAAGTAGATTACAGTGTGGCCAAAACTGCTTCATTTTGAAATTTATTTTGAATTACTTTTCATTCTGCTTGGTGAATTAGATGCTATTAGGTTATAAAGATTTTAACACATACAAAACACTGTCCCCAACTCAACATTGATTAAATATTTAATTTTAAAAATTTTCCAAGGTATTTTATGCTAATAATGATAAATATAAAACTAGGAGACTGAAATTGGTAGAGTGGGACCAAGAATGCAGAGGCGGAAAACTTTTAAAAGAATAAGGCAGTGGGAAAAGAAGAAAAAGGTATACACTTGCCTCCTAAGTTGGAGAAAAGTGAAGATTGCTCACAAATGATGGTACTGGGTTTTTCCACGGAATAATGAAACAGAACATCTAGAATAGATTTTGGGGTGGGGCCTATAGTTCAAGGACAAGGAAAATAGGAAATAGCACTGATAAGGTAAACATGACTGAAAGTCAAGGAATTGAAAATACTAGTGACAGTGCAGTTTAAAAAGTCGATAAAAGGGTTCCCACAATTTAGGGAGATAAGCAAAGGTAGGAAATAACGGATAAACTTTCAGAACAAAGACTGGAGGTCACACTGAGGACAAACCATAGACTCAGTGGGAGAGAGCGAGTAAAAGAGATACAAGAGTAGGTAGTTGTGGGTAGAGAATCTTAACAATTGAAAATGTTGCAGGTGGAATAATTTCATTTGAGGACTGGATTCAAGAAGTGACTACATCTGTGGGCTTCTGACAGAGATGAAGATGATTGGAAAAGAGAAAGATGAGAAATCGTGAGGTCAGGGTTCTGAGTCATTATCATGGATGCTGAAATCATTAGGCTGGGACAGGACATGCAGATCCTTCCAAGGCTGACACAGAGTTTCAGAAACACAGTAGGGCACAGGCAAGGAAGTAAATGGCTGTCTTGGTCACTGCCAACTGTATGCAAATAGTGAGCAGGCAAAATTGGTCTTCAGCACAGATTACCTTTGTTATGTAGCATTTTTTTCCTGGCTCTGTTCACCTGCTCTGAGTAACCTCACTGTCCTCATATTGCTCTCTCACTATACACGTCCCCACTCTCTGCTTTTGATATATGTGAAATCCAAAATGATCCTAAGGCATACATGGAAAGTTCTTGATTGATATGTCACTTTTTCCCACTTACTGTTGCATCTTGACAGTTTTCTCATGACAAATCCTTAACTGAAAAGTGGTTATTTGAGGGCCAATACCCTAAAGAGGTGCCTGCAAACTCATATAATTCCAGCTAAGGGGGGGGGGAAGGGCTCTTTCTGTTTTGAAAAATCTTTCTCCAATATTGATTCATCCTTTTAGCCCAGGACTTTAGCCATCCCCACAAAATGTGAGTTTCTTAGAAGTTAGGGCTGGGTTAGGCCAATACATAGATACCCACAGAAGGACGGACTCAGTCGTTTGCTCTCTAGACCAGCGCACAAGGCAGACTAGCGTGCCATGAGATATTGATTCCCTCCATGTTTATTCCCTGTACTGGTGAAATATCATCATTTTCATTATATACTTTGATGCAAAAGGTTTGGGAAGCACTGACATAACAGTCATCCACGAACAGCTGATATTTATTGAGCACCTACTATATACTGAGAGTCTCATGTATTTTAACTCATTTAACCTTTGCAGCAATCCCATTAGGGTGAACCATTATTCTCATTTTGCAGATAAAGAAACGATGACCTGCCTACCATTACAGACATAGGAAGTGGCAGCACTAGGATGCAAACTCAGGGAATTTGCAACCAGAAAGTTAAGTACACTTAACCACCATACATTCCTCTAAATAAAATGTTTGCTAGATCTAAATAAACAATTTAAATTTTATACGTTTGTTTTAAACATCCCTGTAAATGGCCAACCTAGAATACAAGCCAGTCCCACTGTAGGTTAGCTGTAACATGACAGGGAGCACCAAGAGCTGAATACAGTGTAGCTTTGTCTGTCTTACAGCACATCCCCAGGTTTGCTTAGGACTCCTTTATCACTAGACCCACTTTTCCGTTTCTTTTCCAAAGTACTTCATCAACAACTAAGAGATCATAATTTGTTGTTTTCCTCTTTCTGAATCTTCAATATAATGAAAAACTTTGTAATTGTTTAATTTATGGGTATAATTTGTTCCAGTCCATTAAGCCATTATTGCCCTCCTACAGCCTGCCATTCTTCCACAGAAGGCCCTGGCCTCGGGTGTTTCTTAACACACATACACTCTCACACACACACACAGAGTTATCTTCCAAGTTTCTCATCTTGCTTTGGGGGAAAAAAAAAAAAAACCACAGCGAGCCTCAAAGTCCATTCTCAGGCAGGAGAATTGTAATTGTAATTGTAATGAAATTAGTTTTTGCTAGGTATTTTTATCACAGATTGGGAGGTACAAACCGCAAAGAACTAGTTTCTTGGCATGTCACACCACCTCTAGGGTTCACTGATCAATCGCAAACAAACTCATTTAGTAACTTAAAAAATACATATCCTGGCAAGGTTCATTTATGCATGCCTTGGACCGAGGCCGCCGCCACCACGATCTGCAGGCATCTCGTGTGAAGTCACGACCATCGAGTCTTTCACTTCTCCCGAGAAACTCCCACGCCTCCCCTGTCCCCGAGGGAGCCCGGCGGTCCCTCGCGGCTCTGAGTCCCTCGGGGAAGGCCGCGAACCAAGGCCGCGGGACCGCACCGAGAAGGGAGAGCGGCAAGCGTACAAAGTACCCGGGCTCCAGTTCACGACCCCGTTATTCCACAGAAAAATGGAACATTCCGCTCCTTCCGCCCGCAGAGGAGGTGGGGGGAACCCTTCGATCCGGTCTAGGAAAGGCGACGCGGGCGCAACCGCCGGAATCCCGGACGCCAGGAGCAGCGTTACGGGAATTGCAGCAGACTGGAGTCCCGCCCCTTCGCCGTCGGGTTACCGCCTGGCCAATATCCTAGCGCGCCGGGTCTCGCTGGAGCCAATCAGCATACAGTCCCTAAACCCGGGGGCGGGGCGCGGCGAGGGCGCTGCGGGGCGGGGTCGGGGGCGCAACGCCCCGCCGGGGGAGGAGGGCCGCGTGCCGCGTCTGCGGGAAGGAACCGGGAGTGAGCCGGAGCTGAAGCGAGGACTGGAGTGGCCCGCGGATTCGCGCGGGGAACGCCCGGGCGCAGCTGAGCCGGGGGCCGCGACTGGGCGGCCGACTGGCCCGGCCCGGCCTGGGGCGGAGGGAGTCGTCGCTCTACAGACGCGGATGAGCGAGGCGCTGCGGCCTGAGGTGAGGAGATCCCGTGGTCGAGTGAAGGGCCGCGTAGCGGGAGGGTGAGGGCCGGGTCGGGGGTGTTGGGGCCTGGAGACCAGGCACTCGAGGGGCCACCCTTCCCCGGTAGAGGGGCACCCCAATAATGTGCGCGTCCCAAACTTGTTAGTCCAGCCTGGAAATCCCCCACATTCCTCCTTCCTTTCCGTGTTCACACACCTCTGAATTTGATTTCTACAAGTTTGTCACCTATATTTCTCAACCATAAGCGCAGACCTTACTTCATCGCGCGCACACACCCACACACCCTTCTTTGGCCCACGCCCCCAAATCCCCACTTTTTGCCCTTTTCTATCTCCCCTTAATTTGCACTAGCCCCGCACTTGATTCTTCATTTTTTTCTACCTGGAAATCAGTATCTCTTCACCAAAGCCATCTTTTCATCGTGAAGTTAGTGTTTCAAGATCGTTGAAAGTTCATTTTAATTAAAATATTTTAAACTACATGAGTTTTTTTTCTGTTTTTATCTCTTAACATGTATCCCACGTAACGCTGTATTTGAGAAGCACCAAATCCATCTTTAAAAGCTCACCCCTCCCCCAAGCTTAAAGGTTATTCTAAGTGGTAAGGTTCTTCTGTTTTTCAGTAGATGAACAGCATTTTATTCATAACTCCCAGCTGAAAAAAATATCACAGGTTAGAATTAAGACTTGCCATTTTGGTTTTTTGGGAATTTTTCCCTTCAGAAGAACACCCATTTTGGTTTAATTTGTGTAGTATTGGCATTTTCATCAGTTAACGCTGCTAGGAAATAATTAGTGATTCGAATGCCAGGGTGACTTCTAAAATATTGGAGTCTTTGGTTAAGTCACTGCTGTAAACAAACCCTTTAGACTGTATGACTGCCAGCTTCAAGTTGGAACAACTCTTAATTTGTAATTCCTGGCTCAGATCATTATCTGAGCTGTGTTCGCCATTATCTTTTTCTTAGATTACTGATAATTTTCACTTGGAAGTATTTTTTTTAGCTGTAAATGGAATTATGCGTTTATGGAACCAACTTGATACTAAGTTGAATCATGTTTTCCAACTGTTTCTTTTGAGGGGTTATTTTGAACACTTGTTTTTAATCACAAGTGGAAGAAGAAAATTATAGGATGGAGAAAGTGAGAAAAAGAATAAGTTTTATAGTGGAATTTTTCCCTCTTAAGTCTCTAATTGGCAATGCTATACATGTTTAAGTTTCTCCTAGGTAATTTTGAATATTAGAAATACTGCCAGCTAAGTTAATATATTTTCTTATGTAATGAAAAACATGCAGTGTTCTTTCACGTTTTCATTTATGAGTTGCAGTGTTTTCAGTTTATTTAATTATTTTTTCCAAGGGAATTTGCGCTTCAGTTAATGTTAGGTAAGTGTTGATTATTACATACACCTATGAAGTAAAAAGTTGCAATATTCTTTATAGAGAAGGAAACTGAGAGACCGCGTCCCTGTGATACCTAGATCGGTGTAATCTCAGTTGGTCATTTTGTCATGCTGTAATCTCAGTTGGTCATTTTGTCATGCTGACGAAATTCTTGTAAAGGATCCACCAATACAGTTTGGGAACTTGCGGACTTGAAACTGATCCTCAGAGAGGGTTTTTTTTTTTTTCCCCTGTAGAAGCTAGAGTTTTTCATTTTAACATATCAGGACTCCCTAGTTCTAATACATTTGCAGTCTGGCTCCTGGATAAGTGTGGAATGTTCTCACAGTCTTCTCCATTTCTTTGATTGCAAAGGTTGTATGATCAGAGTTGAAGTTTCTACTCTTTTCACACAACAAATACTAAGGACTTACTGCTGGCTACAGGAATTCACAAAGACATATAAGGTATTCCTAGGACGTTTATAGAGTTTACAGAAATTGGGCTGGCAGATTTATGAAAAATTATGCAAGGCAGTTTTAATTAGAATGATACAGAAATGTAGAATGTAGAAATGTAGAATGATACAGAAACTGCTACAGATAATTAAATTAGGGAGTGATTATTTAAAGGTTGGAATAATCAAAGGATTGAGCAGAAGTCAAACTTGAAACCTTCGTGAGGTTTGGATAGAGATAAATGAAGGAAACTCAAGCCAAATAGAGGTCTATGTAGAAGGTATGTTAATTAAAATAGCCAATGGTATGTAATACTTAATTTGTGCCAGTCATGGTTCTGAGCACTTTGCCCATATTAATTCTCTCAGAAGGCAAATGCTATTATCTTCCTTTTACAAAGAAGGAAGCCAAAACAAAGAGAGGTTAATTTGTCCAGTGCCACACAGTTAATAAGGGGTAGATCTAGAATTCATGCATAAATAGCCTGGCTTCAGAATCTGAGCTCTTAACTGTGATGCATGTGGTTTTTTTTTCATATAGTATACTTGAATGGTGGTAACTAGAATAATATGGCAATTCCGGAAGGTCTTCTAAAACACTCTTAATTGTGCTCTGTGTGCTTCAAAGTATCTGTAGATTCTGAAAATATCAAGACATAGAAACAAATAATTCCACTACAGTGTTAATCAGTCCTATTATGGAACTGTATACAAGTGCATTAGGAGCAAAGGTGTTTGTGGGAACTGGGAAATTCCACAGGAGAGATGATGTTTCATTGGAGTTACACAAAGCAGAGAATGGGAAAAGATACTGTAGAGTTGGGATAGTGTATGTAGAAGCACAGACTCTGAAATAACAAAATATGTTAGAGAAAGTCTAGTAGTTTATTGTGGCTTGAGCTTAGTCTGTAGGAGTGAGTTTAGTCTACAGGTGTAGGAATGATAAAAAGTAGACCAAAATGTGAAATGGCATGATGAGTTCAAGGCAAATAAAAGCTTAAATATTTGCATTTGGGAAGCTGCATAAATAATTTCGCTGGATTGTTTGCTATTCTCTTTAGATGTACAGTGGTGGGGTAGCTTGAGGAAACAATATTTGAGGGTTTTTTTAGAATAGACTTTATTGTTTGTTGGTTTGTTTGAAGTGCTCTCTACACCCAACATGAGGCTTGAACTCAAAACCCCAAGATCAAGGTCACTTGCTATATCAGATGAGCCAGCTAGGCCTTTCTAGAATAGATTTTTTTTTTTTTTTTCAAATTTTTATTTTATTAACATATAATGTATTACTTGTTTCAGGGGTACAGGTCTGTGAATCATCAGTCTTAGACAATTCACAGCAGTCACTATAACACATAACCCTCCTCAATGTTTTATCACCCAGTCACCCTATCCCTCCCCCAACCCAGCAGCCCTCAATTTGTTTCCTGAGATTGAGTCTCTTACGGTTTGTCTCCCTCCCAGGTCCCATCTTGTCTCATTTTTCTCTCCCTCCGCCCCCCCCCCAATTCCTCATATCATAGAGATCAGACCATAATTGTTTTTCTGTGATTGACTTATTTTGTTTAGCATAATACTCTAGTTCCATCTGCGTAGTTGTAAATGGCAAGATTACGTTTCTTTTTTATGGTTGCATAGAATTCCATTATATATACTTTTACGCACACACACATATGTGTGTGTATATATATATATATAAATAACCATTCATTTGTTGATGGACATCTAGCTGCTTTCCATAGTTTGGCTGTTGTGGACATTGCTCTCAAACATTTGGGTGCACGTGCCCCTTCGGATCACTACATTTGTATCTTTAGGGTAAATACCAAGTAGTGCGATTGCTGGGTTGTAGGGTAGCTCTATTTTCAACTTTCTGAGGAACCTCTATACTGTGTTCCAGAGCGTCTGCACCAGCTTGCATTCCCACCAACAATGTAGGAGGGTTCTCGTTTCTCTGTGTCCTCGCCAACACCAGTCGTTTCCTGACTGATTAACTTTTAGACATTCTGACTGGTGTGACGTGGTATCTCCATGTGGTTTTGATTTGTATTGCCTTGATGCCATGATGTTTAGCACTTTTTCATGTGTCCCTTGGCCATTTGGTTGTCTTCGCAGAAATGTCTGTTCTTGTCTTCTGCCCATTTCTTGATTGGATTATTTGTTCTTTGGGTGTTAGGTTTGATAAGTTCTTTATAGATTTTGGATACTAGCCCTTTGTCTGATACATTTGCAAATACCTTTTCCCATTCTTCAGTTGTCTTTTGGTTTTGTTGACTGTTTGCTTTGCAAAAAGCTTTTTATCTTGATGAAGTCCCAATGTTGCCCATGCTTCCCTGCCTTTGGCAATGTTTCTAGGAAGAAGTTGCTGCCGGTGCTCTCAAGGATTTTGATAGATTCCTGTCTCATATTGATGTCTTCCATCCATTTTGAGTCTGTTTTTGTGTGTGGTGTAAGGAAATGGTATAGTTTCATTCTTTGGAATGTTGATATCCAATTTTCCCAAAACCATTTGTTGCAGAGGCGCTTTTCCATTGGACATAGAATAGATTTTAAGTACTGGAGAAGATAGGTTAGACAGGCACATGAAGCCAATTCTTTAAGTTCTAAAATAGCTAAATATTTGGCATTATTATTGACCCTTTAAAAGCTTTTGAAGATAAGAGTGACAAGTTAGGTAGGTTGATCCACCTGTAACGTCCGACTGATTTTGGAGGATGGAAAGAGACTGGAAGCAGGAAGGCCATTAAATAGTAAGGTGATCCCATGTGCCGAAATGATGATTGTCATGGTAGAAGGTAGAAAAGAGACAAATAGAAAAGACATCATGAAAGATGATTAGATAAGCTAGAATAAAAAAATGATAGGTAAGAGGCAGTGATGGACCCCATTGATTTAGGTAGTTCAAAAAGGGTGATCTTAGGTGGGGAAAAATAATTTTTTTCTTCCAAGTGAGTGCATTTGTGTCTATATGTGTATAGCATGCATGTTATTTGTGTATTGTTTTTAGACCTTTCTATTTGAGTTAGAGGCAGAATATCCAAGACAATGATACATAACTGGAATCAATGATTCCAGCCAGAATTTTTTATTTTTTAAAGATTTTATTTTTTGTTTGACAGATCACAGGTAGGCAGAGAGGCAGGCAGAGAGAGA